TCCAATCCAATATTCAGAACCAATTTCCTAATGTTGCTGTGAATAATATTTATTTTTTGTAAATGAAACTTGATAGTGAAAAGCAGAATCAGAATCAGAAAGGGTTTTATTCGCCATGAAAGTTCGCACAGACAAGGAATTTACTTTGGCAGGAAGGTGCATACATTAAACATATAGGAATCTTAAATCTTAAATAAGTGGTTTACAAATCTAACTATACTAAAGGTACAAGTCTAAATAATACTAAGGAGCTGAAGTATGTAAAAATTGAATAAAATAAAATCTAAAATATACAATAGCTACAATATACAATATAAAATTACTAAAATGCAAATAGGGTAACATAGTGCAAATATGGAAGGGTGTCATTGTGCAGATATTGTGTTAAAGTCAGTTTGAGCGTTAAAGTCAGTTTGAGCCCCTGGCCTTGTTGAAGAGGCCAACAGCGGATGGGAAGAAACTGTTTTTGTGGCGTGAGGTTTTGGTCTTGATGAACCGCAGCCTTCTGCCGGAGGGGAGTAGCTGGAACAGAGTGTCCAGGGTGGGAGGAGTAGGCCACAATCTTCCTCGCTCGCCTCAGGGTCCTCGAGGTGTACAGGTCCTCGAGGGTAGGCAGATTGCAGCCAATTACCTTCTCAGCAGTGCGGATGATACGCTGCAGTCTGCTCTTGTCCTTGGCAGTGGTAGCAGCATACCAGATGGTGATGGAGGAGGTGAGGATGGACTCAATGATGGCTGTGTAGAAGTGCACCATCATTGTCTTTGGCAGGTCGAAATTCTTCAGCTGCTGTAGGAAGTACATCCTTTATTGTGCTCTCTTTATGAGGGAGCTGATGTTCAGTTCCCATTTAAGGTCCTGGGAGAGGATAGTGCCCAGGAAGCGGAAGGACACCACAGTGTTGACTGGAGAGTCGTACAGGGTGATGGGGGTGAGTGGGGCTGTATTCTTCCTGAAGTCCACAACCATCTCCACTGTCTTAAGAGCATTGAGCTCTAAGTTGTTCTGGCTACACCAGGTCACCAGGTTGTCAGCTTCCCACCTATAGTCAAACTCATCCCCACCACAGATGAGCCCAATGAGGGTGGTGTCGTCCGCAAACTTCAAGAGTTTGACGGACGGATGACTGGAGGTGCAGCTGTTGGTGTACAGGGGGAAGAGCAGAGGGGAAAGGACGCAGCCCTGAGGAGATCGGGTGCTGATGGACTGGGAGTCAGAGACTTGTGTTCCCAGCCTAACGCACTGCTTCCTGTCAGACAGGAAGTTTGTGATCCACCTGCAGGTGGAGTCGGGCACGTTCAGCTGGGAAAGCTTGTCCTGAAGCAGGGCAGGGATGATGGTGTTGAAAGCAGAGCTGAAGTCCACAAACAGGATCCTGGCGTAGTTTACTGGGGAGTCCAGGTGCTGTAGGGTGAAGTGGAGGGCCATGTTAACTGCGTCGTCCACAGACCTGTTGGCTCTGTAGGCAAACTGCAGGGGGTCCAGGAGAGGGTCTGTGATAGCTTTGAGATGTGCCAACACCAGGCGCTCAAAAAACTTTATTACCACAGAGGTTAGGGTGACGGGTCTGTAATCATTAAGTCCTGTTGGCCTTGGCTTTTTGGGCACAGGGATGATGGTGGAGAACTTGAGATAGGCTGGTACATGGCATGTCTCCAGTGAGGTGTTGAAGATGTTGGTGAACACCGGAGACAGCTGGTCAGCGCAGTGCTTGAGGGTCGCTGGAGAGACAGAGTCTGGCCCAGGTGCTTTGCGGGGGTTCTGCCTCTTGAAAGGTCTGTTAACCTCTCCCTCCTAAATTGAGAGAGTCATCTCTGTAGTGGGGGGGGGGGGGGGGAGGCCTCTTGGGTGGGAAGGGGTAGTTCAGGAGAGTCCAATTGTCTTTCAAATCTGCAGTAGAACTCGTTCAGGTCGTTGGCCAGGTGGGAGTCATTAGTGGTGTGGGGGGCTCTGTTGGTGATCTGCCTGAGCCCTCTCCAGACAGAAGCAGAGCCGTTAGCAGAGAACTGATGTTTTAGTCTCTCTGAGTACAGTCGTTTAGCCTCTCTCACCGCCTTGCTAAACCTGTTCTTCGACTCTTTGAATCTGTCTCTATCCCCACTCCTAAACGCTTCCTCCTTCTCCAACCTCAACCTTCTGAGCTTTGCTGAAAACCAGGGCTTGTTGTTGAAGTTCACCCTGGTGCGTGTTGGAATACAGCAGTCCTCACAGAAGCTGATGTACGACATCACAGCCTCTGTGAGTTCATCCAAGCTATTGGTAGCAGTCGTGAACATATCCCAGTCAGTACAGTCCAAGCACGCCCGCAGATTCTCCATAGCCTCACTGGTCCACTGTTTAGATGTCCTCACAGCAGGTTTACAGAGCTTTAGTTTCTGCCTGTATGCAGGAATCAGGTGGACCATGGCAGGGTCAGAGTGTCCCAGTGCTGCTCGGGGGACAGCGTGGTAGGATCTACTGACTGTAGTGTAGCAGTGTTCCAGAGTGTTCCCTTCTCTGGTAGGGCATTTAATGTATTGTTTGTATTTGAGGAGATTACCTTTGTTAAAATCGCCGAGTACGATAACCAGGGAATCCGGATTTTCTCGCTCCACACTCAGAATCTGGTCGGCGAGCATGCGTTGGGCCTCTTTAACCTGAGGACCCGGCGGCAAATAACCTCCGACCAATATGAGCGACGCGAACTCGCGAGGCGAGTAAAAAGGTTTACAGTTTATAAAAATGATCCCAGGTCCGGACAACAATGTTGCAAAATCACTGTTACATCTACACACCAGCCACTGTTAGTGTAAAAACAAATACCACCGCCCCTCGTCTTGCCGGAGAGTGCTATGTCCCGATCCGATCTTACGAGTTGGAAGCCTGCCAGTTGTAATGCAGTATCCGGGATCAAATCACACAGCCATGTCTCCGTGAAGCACAAGACAGAAGATGAAAAAAAGTCTCTGTTTTTCACCATCAGTAGCTGAAGTTCGTCCATTTTGTTGCACAGTGAACGTACGTTGGAGAGGGAAAAGCTTGGAAGCACTGTTCGGATCCCGCGTCTGCGTAGCCGAACTAGAGCCCCCCGACCGTTTACCCCTTTGGCGGCGTTTCGCTGCTTGAGCAAAGTCGAGCGCGGCTTTGACTAGAATGCCCACTAATTCTGCCTGGAAGCAGAAAAGTGGGAAATAAATCCACAGGGGTTGTTTCCCTAATGTTTTCGTCTCTTGTTAGAGAACTCCGAAAAACTTGGCAGAACACTGAATTATCAGACATAACAAGACAAAACAGGGTGCACCAACCGGCCGAGGCTGCCATCATCGGCGTCATGCTGGGGATAAGCAATATAATGATGCGCCGGAAGAAGAATGTTTTAAATCGGAGCCTATTGCTCGCTCGGGTATGCAGATCTGAAATAGGAACACTGGAAAAGAAAATGGATCAAAAACTGAAAAAGTGCGCAGGAAAGCATGGAGACACACGTGCTAAGAATTGCACTGAGGGAGAATTAGGAACACGCATTGTGGAACAGAGCAAAAATCAGAAATACCATACATAATAGAGGTTGTTGGTTTACATTGAATAAATATAAATGTGTCGTTAAACCTGCCACCACCCGACACAGCCAAATAATAAGGTTTGTCAGATATACAAAACATGCCAATCCGTTACTTGTACAGCACACCGGTGTGTTGGAGAGTAAACCCACATTTACAATTCCAGTACGACGTTTCACCAGTAATTGCAACCAGCATCATCAGGCGACAGCAAGAGTTGTATAGAAATCCTACTGTTTCGGTCTTAAATAGAGGAGGTAAATGTGATGTCGTCACTTGTGAGCCAAGGCCAGATAAGGGTTAGGAGGGGTTAACAACACATTCATATTTTCGCGATCTACCCCAAAAAAAACTCTTATGGATAATATTCATCGCGAAAACGGACTATGTGTTCATCAGAGATGTCATATTTGGCAAAAGAGAGAGGATGCCACCGTCACGATAGACCAATGTGGCACGTGTGAAGTGGGTTTTGATAGCAATTGCCCAAACTCTGTGGCCCTGTATTGTGATATTTGGCCATCTCCGTTCATTATTTTTTTTAATAGATGGTGAACATTTTTTGTCATTTTAAATTGCAATTAATAATGTGGATGATAAAAAAATTACCCATCCTCAAATATTGACGAGGTTCGTAAACAAAGACAGAGGGTACACACAATCTCTCTCCAAACGTGTTCGGCACAAACACGGCAGTCTTCTCTTCAACCTGTCATTCATCCGTAATTAGTGATTCGAGTGTAGAGGTCTCATTGGTCAGTGTGGATGCACACTACCGGTGAATACCAAAACTCGATTCACAATAAACGGCCCCATTGGCGTTCATGGTGTACGGCACCGCCAGCATCACCACCTTTGCCGCTGAAATAACGGAGCGACGTTTTTTTCAATATTTTGCCTGGAGCCAGCGTGTTTGCTGAGCAAAGGCTGCAGCAGCAGCAAACAGCAGCAGCAGCCGCCGTGTATACATTAGCATTCATCTTGCTTGCAGGGAATCGGTGCTGGCTACAGATTTAGCTTATTGATTGCTCGCCCCGGTGTGATCATTCACGCCTATAGAAATTGACACTTCGCTCCTCAGCTCGTGTTAAATTACGCTGACCATTATTGGTTTTAATACTCTCACTATTTCTTCTTCTCTGCCTTCTTCGTTATTTCCCTTATAATTCTCCCTTGGTTTTTTTTGGGGGGGGGGGTGTAGGGGGGTCATTCCATTTCTCCTTTTGTCATTGTCGTTCTTTACTCGTGTCGTCATATGTATCTGCATCATCTCTTGTCAATTCCTTCGTCTGATCATTCTTCATTTTGCTATATATATCTTTCAATGTATTTAGTTTTCATCATCTCTTTCGTCTACCATCATCAACTTTATTCACGTGTTCTCGTATTTTCACCGTTTGCTTTTCTCCTCTTTTTGCCATCTTGCGTTTAATAATTATGGTTCGTCATTGTCTTCTTTGCAGGAGTACACCATCGACATATTCTTCGCCCAGACGTGGTTTGACAGCAGACTTCGGTTCAACAGCTCCATGAAAGTGTTGAGATTGAACAGCAACATGGTGGGGAAGATCTGGATCCCAGATACCTTCTTCCGGAACTCAAAGCAGGCTGACGCCCATTGGATTACGACCCCAAACCAATTGCTGCGCATATCAAACAACGGAAAGGTGCTCTACACACTGAGGTAAGATTACCTCCTGAAGCATTCCTCTACCATTCTCAGCACAAACAACTGGCTGGTTGAGCTTAATGATGAACATAAGATTATTATACCCTTAATGGTTTACTCAATATATGCCTTGAATGAAAGAAATGTTTGCATATACTGTGTACATTTAGAGAGTTCATCCTTACAGTGAGGGAAAAAAGTATTTGATCCCCTGCTGATTTTGTACGTTTGCTCACTGACAAAGAAATGATCAGTCTATAATTTTAATGGTAGGTTTATTTGAACAGTGAAAGACAGAATAACAACAAACAAATCCAGAAAAACGCATGTCAAAAATGTTATAAATTGATTTGCATTTTAATGAGGGAAATGAGTATTTGACCCCCTCTCAATCAGAACGATTTCTGGCTCCCAGGTGTCTTTTATACAGGTAACGAGCTGAGATTAGGAGCACACTCTTATAGGGAGTGCTCCTAATCTCAGCTTTTTAACTGTATAAAAGACACCTGTTCACAGAAGCAATCAATCAATCAGATTACAAACTCTCCACCATGGCCAAGACCAAAGAGCTCTCCAAGGATGTCAGGGACAAAATTGTAGACATACACAAGGCTGGAATGGGCTACAAGACCATCGCCAAGCAGCTTGGTGAGAAGGTGACAACAGTTGGTGCGATTATTCGCAAATGGAATAAACACGAAAGAACTGTCAATCTCCCTTGGTCTGGGGCTCCATGCAAGATCTCACCTCGTGGAGTTGTAATGATAATGAGAACGTTGAGGAATCAGCCCAGCACTACACGGGAGGATATTGTCAATGATCTCAAGGCAGCTGGGACCATAGTCACCAAGAAAACAGTTGGTAACACACTACGCCGTGAAGGACTGAAATCCTGCAGCACCCGCAAGGTCCCCCTGCTCAAGAAAGCACATATACATGCCCGTCTGAAGTTTGCCAATGAACATCTGAATGATTCAGAGGATAATTGGGTGAAAGTGTTGTGGTCAGATGAGACCAAAATGGAGCTCTTTGGAATCAACTCAACTCGCCGTGTTTGGAGGAGGAGGAATGCTGCCTATGACCCCAAGAACACCATCCCCACCGTCAAACATGGAGGTGGAAACATTATGCTTTGGGGGTGTTTTTCTGCTAAGGGGACAGGACAACTTCACCGCATCAAAAGGGGCGATGGACAGGGCCATGTACCGTCAAATTTTGGGTGAGAACCTCCTTCCCTCAGCCAGGGCATTGAAAATGGGTCGTGGATGGGTATTCCAGCATGACAATGACCCAAAACACACGGCCAAAGCAACAAAGGAGTGGCTCAAGAAGAAGCACATTCAGGTCCTGGAGTGGCCTAGCCAGTCTCCAGATCTTAATCCCATAGAAAATATGTGGAGGGAGCTGAAGATTCGAGTTGCCAAACGTCAGCCTCGAAACCTTAATGACTTGGAGAAGATCTACAAAGAGGAGTGGGACAAAATCCCTCCTGAGATGTGTGCAAACCTGGTGGCCAACTACAAGAAACGTCTGACCTCTGTGTTTGCCAACAAGGATTTTTCCACCAAGTACTAAGTCATGTTTTGCAGAGGGGTAAAATACTTATTTCCCTCATTAAAATGCAAATCAATTTATAACATTTTTGACATGCGTTTTTCTGGATTTTTGTTGTTATTCTATCTATCACTGTTCAAATAAACCTACCATTAAAATTATAGACTGATTTTATTTGTCAGTAGGCAAACGTACAAAATCAGCAGGGGATCAAATACTTTTTTTCCCTCACTGTAAGGTGTGAAAGAAGTTCAACATACATGCATTTGTGGCCACATCGCTTATGAAAATGAGCATATAGCTCAGTGGGCGTTCCCTGTTAAAATAAATAAAATAAATAAAATAGTGATAGTTTAGTATTGGAGAGGATACTCTGAGGTTAAGTTACCAAGCGGAAGGTCTCAGACCATATTGTCTGGTGGTATCACCGGCAGCTATTGCTATTGATATTTTACATCCAGGTAACTGTATTTCCTGGTAGTTGGGTGCACTTGCAATGAGTGAGTCCAAACTGGAGTGAGTCCAAACTGGAGTGACTCGTCACTGGCCGGCTGCATTGCACACAGGGAGCTCCTCGAGGGTGGCATCTGCTGTTAAGGGGGACACAGCAGAAGGCATGCGTTTGCAGGCGTAGGTCAGTGTGCCCGTGACGTGATCATATTTAGCATTAAAAAATGAACCACAAGGCAATTGTAAAAACAGGCTCCTGTTAAGCCAGCTATCGAAGCTTCATTTTCTAAAAGGCATGGTTGTAGATTATTCATTTGATAAACACTCTGGAATTTACTTTTCACTGACGAGAAGCACAACACCCAGGTCTAGATACATGTGATGTGCTAATTGTTGTCATGAATATTGACAGAAACTGCTTTTTCACTATCATGACAGTTGCGTTGTATATACACCGTGCTGTATTTTTCTTTCGAAGAGCAACTGTTTATCCGTTATTTTGTGCACAAATTTTTCACTTTGCTGCATGCTATGTTTTGTGCTGCTAACCTATGCAGGGTTATGCTTCTCTTATGCCTCTTTCTATTATTAGATTGACTATAAATGCAGAATGTCAGCTTCAGCTCCATAACTTTCCTATGGATGAGCATTCCTGTCCCCTGGAATTTTCCAGTTGTAAGTATTAAAACGTGTTAATAGATGATTCTGAAAATCATTGCGATTCATTCAGACTCATAAAACTCATTTACTACCTGTCTTGATATGAACCAGAACATCGCATGTGATAACAAATCATTCTCTCCACAGTGTGTGTGTGCATGGAGTATGTTTGTATGTAAGTATGCGTGAGTTTGTGAATATATGTGAGCTTTGTCTACCATACGTGGGTGAAATACATTCATTCCTGTAGAGTCACCCAACCACAATAAAATCCATTAAACACATGACGCGTGCGTAGTTCATGTGAACGTGCAATGTCAATTATTTGCACATGTTTTAAAATGTGGTCATGTTTTTCATGAATAAAACTTGTTTAAAATGCATTGTCTGCACGGTATATGTGTATACTCATTATAATTCGGTAACTTCTTAGAGGTAATGATTTTGCATCAATGCCTCCTTTGTCTATCAAGTTGAAGCACCATGCGCTATCGTTATTTATGCGGTGTAGTGTAATGGGCACGGTGCGTGCGTGCATGTGGGGAGCGGTAGTGTAGCCGTTAGCGCACTGCGCTATGAACTTGGCTACCCGAGTTCAATTCCTAGTGATGGCCACCAACACCAGTGACGATTATCTGATCCGGTCTTACGCCTCCCCTAGGGACACTCAGCCTTAAATTAGTACTTGCTGCGTTGTGTAAACATCGCCACTGGGGAGACAAAGGCGGTCGGGCGTTGTTGTTGGCCACCCACCCCCTCGTGCCGTGCCAGGCTTTATAAGTGCTAGCTAACAGCACTTGCCTAACAATCTGTTAAGGCTATACACGGGGTCTTTGTCTTTGTTCGGGTATTTAAACTGTGCAAGAGGCAATGTCACAGTGGTTACTGGGCCCTGCTGTAGCATTCGTCCCATTCACTCGACCTGAAATGAGTACGAGGTGCGGTGCGCCTACGCCAATAGGGTGTGGGTACAGCCAATGGCCGTACCCACACCCTTAAGGCGCTGCGTAGGCCGTTGCCAAACAGTGCCGAACAAAAGGGGAACATTCTCCAAAGAGTTAAATACTTAAATAAAATTTGTGAATATATTTTAACTCGGAAGTCTCTTGAGATGGAACATCTCGTTTGCAAGGGTGTCGATTGACACACACACAGCAAACGTGAAATGATTGTACAAACAGTTGTGTCCTATATATGCAGTATATACACAGTAGAGTATCATCTATGATGGACAGTACAGTATATTCACGTGTTTTATAGTGGTCTATTATTTATGATCTAAGAGATACATGTGTATATTATAACGTTTACTCATGATATTAGCGAGTAGGTGATCAGTGCAATGGCACCCAACCATTGCTTTTGCAGACGGTTATCCCAAGGATGAGATCCTTTACAAATGGAGCAAGAGTTCTGTGGAAGTTGCCAACCAACGCTCTTGGAAGCTCTACCAGTTCTCCTTCCTGGGCCTCAGGAACACCACCAATATCCTGTCGACTGATTCCGGTGAGACCCTTGCTCATCACACCTTCACGTGAAAGCCCGTGGCTTGTACTGTATCATTCATGTGCGCTATCCGTCCGTGCGGCGATGGGGTAGCGCACAACTCGCGATTTAGAAGGTCGTGAGTGAGTTCACCCGTAGATTTGGGATCAACGCAGCCCATCATCCCTCTGGGGTTGATATAAAATGAGCACCACCCTGTGGAGAGTCTTCGTGGGAAGACTGACCAAAGGCAGGGTAATGTGGAATTCATGTAAGTGTTGAACTTCTTTTGCACCATGTGTTGTCAACCGTGCTAATCAGAGGTGCAGGGGAAGGACAACAAACGAAACACAAAAGCAGTTCTAAATAAATTAGTATTCAATCTAGATTATTTAAAAGTGCATAGCTCCAGTGGCTTCCTAATATCGGAAGAAAGAGCATTCCAGACGGCCGCAGAAGCGGATCTGAAAGCGTACGATGCGGTAACCGTCTTTGTTCGATGGCTGATATCCCATCTTAGGACCTACCTTCTTGGTTCTTTCGGTAAAGTCACGTAGAAGGGAAGTAATAAAATGATAAAAATAAAACATAATAAAATAATTCTCACGACGTTTCGGCCACAATGCAAGCAGCCGTCTTCAGGTGAAGAATGAAACACTGCCAAGCTTGGAGCATATATATAAGTTGGGTTGGAGGTGGAAGAAGAGCGCCTTGACAAAATAATTTGCATATCAAGAGGAATTTAGCATATTTATGGCAAATGCATAGGAGGTGGGCGTGGGGGTTTCAAAGTCATATTATGCCCATGCATTATGCAGGATTAGCAGCATCAAAGGGAGGGGGTAGGGGGTAGCATTAACAAAGGGAGAGAATGTTAATAGTATGTAGAAGCCACGAAACATGTCAATGGGAGAGCGGATAGTAGGAGACCCGCAATGGAGCAAATAATGCATTCCCTGTGGAGAACACAAGATACACAGTCAATGCCAGTGAGTGGACTGCGGTCTGAAAGTCACCGTAAACGTGAACAACAATCAGTTAAGATCCGAAGATGGATTCTGGCTCAGCAATCATTGGAAGGACGTAATAAACCATTTCGGATCTTAACTGATTGTTGTTCACGTTTACGGTGACTTTCAGACCGCAGTCCACTCGCTGGCATTGACTGTGTATCTTGTGTTCTCCACAGGGAATGCATTATTTGCTCCGCTGCGGGTCTCCTGTCACTGCTCTCCCATTGACATGTTTCGTGGCTTCTACATACTATTAACATTCTCTCCCTTTGTTAATGCTACCCCCTACCCCTCCCTTTTTGATGCTGCTAATCCTGCATAATTCATGGGCATAATATGACTTTGAACCCCCCCCCCGCCCACCTCCTACGCATTTCCAATAAATATGCTAAATTCCTATTGATATGCAAATTATTTTGTCAAGGCGCTCTTCTTCCACCTCCAACCCAGCTTATATATACGCTCCAAGCTTGGCAGTGTTTCATTCTTCACCTGAAGACGGCTGCTTGCATTGTGGCCGAAACGTCGTGAGAATTATTTTATTATGTTTTATTTGTATTATTTTATTACTTCCCTTCTACGTGACTTTACCGAAAAAACCAAGAAGATGAATCCCTGCAGTCACGAAAGCTTTAAATCGAAATTTAGGACCTACCGTTAGGCCAATAATGAAACCAAGCAAAAGGTCACTTTGTATGTATTGTATGTTGAACTTCTATTACACCATAGGCATATTTATACCACTACCTGAAGGCTACCAACTGAGCTGAGCACCGCCCTGCCTTCGTTTTAAAAAGGAGACGCTCTGCTCTGAATTGCATGTATGATACTTTTTGCGATTAAGACTATTAATTTCAGAAGTTCTAAATTAAGTTATCGCATATCCATTTCCTTATACCCTTTTGAATCTCGAATTCGTTTAAAAAATTCCACAAATATTGGCAGCAATTGCCTTTTATCGAAAATAAATTAGACCAATCGTGTCTGCATACTTACAGTCAATGTATACGAAAACAACTGGTAATCTTTTAAGCGGGCGTAGTCTTTGCATACTTGTGTTACTAACACAAACACAAACTGTACGATGTTCTGCAGTAATTCATAAGCGATGTTTAAAAATACAATGTCAGGGTCACAGTGTCTCTTGGTTCAGACAAACATTCAGAAGTATTCCTCTCCATGCGCGAAAGCCAAATTGGAATGGAAATTCCACAGTGCTATGGCAAATATCAATCTGACCCTTGGGTATTGGTACAGTTTCAATGACGTGCACCACACTGGAAAGAAAAAACACGTGCATTTGATCCTTTCCCAAAATGCCGTGAATGCTGCACGTAACTCTTTGGTTCTGTCGGTAAAGTCACGTAGAAAGAAAATAATAATTAAATAATAGCAGACGACGTTTCGATTGTAACACAAAAAATCATCATCAGGTGCAAATGAAAGAGAAAACAAACCTAGTAAACTTAGAAATATAATGCAATACAACACAGTGAGACGGCTAACATAACAGTCAACACTCGACCTGGTTGATTAGGTTCTTCCAAAGATTGCTAAATTTGAGAGACAAAACATAGACACGGAGACACATAGACAGACACATAAGCAGAGAGAGATTCTACAGAGACACAGAGAGAGAGAGAGACACACACATAGTGAGGGAAAAAAGTATTTGATCCCCTGCTGATTTTGTAAGTTTGCCCACTGACAAAGAAATGATCAGTCTATAATTTTAATGGTAGGTTTATTTGATCAGTGAGAGACAGAATAACAACAACAAAATCCAGAAAAACGCATGTCAAAAATGTTATAAATTGATTTGCTTTTAATGAGGGAAATAAGTATGACTCCTCTGTAAAACATGACTTAGTACTTGGTGGCAAAACCCTTGTTGGCAATCACAGAGGTCAGATGTTTCTTGTAGTTGGCCACCAGGTTTGCACACATCTCAGGAGGGATTTTGTCCCACTCCTCTTTGTAGATCTTCTCCAAGTCATTAAGGCTTCGAGGCTGACGTTTGGCAACTCGAACCTTCAGCTCCCTCCACAGATTTTCTATGGAATTAAGGCCTGGAGACTGGCTAGGCCACTCCAGGACCTTAATGTGCTTCTTCTTGAGCCACTCCTTTGTTGCTTTGGCCGTGTGTTTTGGGTCATTGTCATGCTGGAATACCCATTCACGACCCATTTTCAATGCCCTGGCTGAGGGAAGGAGGTTCTCACCCAAGATTTGACGGTACATGGCCCCGTCCATCGTCCATTTGATGCAGTGAAGTTGTCCTGTCCCCTTAGCAGAAAAACACCCCCAAAGCATAATGTTTCCACCTCTATGTTTTGACGGTGGGGATGGTGTTCTTGGGGTCATAGGCAGCATTCCTCCTCCTCCAAACCAGGCGAGTTGAGTTGATGCCAAATAGCTCAATTTTGGTCTCATCTGACCACAACACTTTCACCCAGTTGTCCTCTGAATCATTCAGATGTTCTTTGGCAAACTTCAGATGGGCATGTATATGTGCTTTCTTGAGCAGGGGGACCTTGCGGGCGCTGCAGGATTTCAGTCCTTCACGGCGTAGTGTGTTACCAACTGTTTTCTTGTGACTATGGTCCCAGCTGCCTTGAGATCATTGACAAGATCCTCCCGTGTAGTTCTGGGCTGATTCCTCACCGTTCTCATGATCATTGCAACTCCACGAGGTGAGATATTGCATGGAGCCCCAGGCTGAGGGAGATTGACAGTTCTTTTGTGTTTCTTCCATTTGCGAATAATCGCACCAACTGTTGTCACCTTCTCACCAAGCTGCTTGGCGATGGTCTTGTCCCTGACATCCCTGGAGAGCTCTTTGGTCTTGGCCATGGTGAAGAGTTTGGAATCTGATTGATTGATTGCTTCTGTGAACAGGTGTCTTTTATACAGATAACAAGCTGCGATTAGGAGCACTCCTTTTAAGAGTGTGCTCCTAATCTCAGCTCGTTACCTGTATAAAAGACACCTGGGAGCCAGAAATCTTTCTGATTGAGAGGGGGTCAAAAACGTATTTCCCTCATTAAAATGCCAATCAATTTATAACATTTTTGACATGCGTTTTTCTGGATTTTGTTGTTGTTATTCTGTCTCTCACTGTTCAAATAAACTTACCATTAAAATTATAGACTGATCATTTCTTTGTCAGTGGGCAAACGTACAAAATCAGCAGGGGATCAAATACTTTTTTCCCTCACTGTACCAGTCCTGTACACGTTGTATATACCAGTCCTGTACACGTTGTATATACCAGTCCTGTACACGTATATACCAGTCGTGTACACGTATATACCAGTCCTGTACATGTTGTATATACCAGTCCTGTACACGTTGTATATACCAGTCCTGTACACGTTGTATATACCAGTCCTGTACACGTATATACCAGTCCTGTACACGTTGTATATACCAGTCCTGTACACGTTGTATATACCAGTCCTGTACACGTTGTATATACCAGTCCTGTACACGTTGTATATACCAGTCCTGTACACGTATATACCAGTCCTGTACACGTATATAACAGTCCTGTACACGTTGTATATACCAGTCCTGTACACGTTGTATATACCAGTCCTGTACACGTTGTATATACCAGTCCTGTACACGTATATACCAGTCCTGTACACGTTGTATATACCAGTCCTGTACACGTTGTATATACCAGTCATGTACACGTTGTATATACCAGTCCTGTACACATTGTATAGACTTGTCCTGTACACCTTGTATATACCAGTCCTGTACACGTTGTACATAACAGTCCTTTAACATTCTGATTTTGATAATAAACCAAAAAATTGTGCGCATTTTGCCCATGACGTGACATGTATTTGATTGGCTATGTCGGGTGGTGGAGGGTTATGGTTAAAAGTTGGCATTGTACCTACATGACGACTGAACCCAAAGGAAACCAATTACACTGTGTAACGTTTTTTGTTCCTGGATAGTAAGTGTTATTTTCTAATTGCTTATGCCTCAAACGTA